TTATCCAGTTTCGTTGTTCTCGCTGTGACGTCCCACACACGAGGGCCTAGACTAGGCACGATTGAACCTGTAAACCGCCCTCAACCCAATTTCCTGCCCAGAAGCTCCCACAAATAAAATTGAGCAAGCATCGGGTGCTTGTTTATTTACTTGTGGGCTCGCGCGCTTCAAAATGTATTCGGCCATCAACGACAATTCAATCTGTACGAGCCTAAACAGAATACCCACCTCCTGCGCTCGCAGCAGCTTACATTTTTTTTTCCCGAAGTCAACCAAATCTTGAATCAGTGGCTCTCTACCCATGCCTATTACATGAGGACCGTTTTGGAATTCGACGAAATCAACTCAGTCCCACGTCCCACGTGTGCCAACGGCACCAAATACCTTGTCAGCTAGCTTGCCCCTATGATGTGCGCGGCAAGCCAGGAGAGGCACCTGCTGATTACAGTAGAGCAAACAACGCACTAGCTGCACCCACAGTAGAAATATTATTATGCTTGCATTCAGCTGCCAAGGTGAAGTCCTACACTCAGCGTGCTTTTGTTCCTTTCAAACCAAACTTGCTTGAACGACAGGTAAGTCGAGACAATGTTCAGCACGCACTGATTTTCGCAGCACATAATGGGATCCCATGACCAGAGCATCAACTGAAAGGTTCCATGCTTCTTGAAGATGGGGAGTAATCCTCGTTCATGTGTAAAGTATGAAGGCACTTGTGCAACGTAACGAGAGCTTCTCCCCTCCCCCTGAAGGAGTCTGCAGTAAAGCTTATTGACTGTACAAATTTATGCTGATCCCTGCATGCAGTAGGTTAATAAAGTGGAACTGGCGTGTGCGATGAGCAATCATCACCGAAGCGTGACACTACGGGATCGGCAGGAAAGACAATCTTACTTTTAAAACCGCAGCTTTTTTGGATGCAATCATACTGAGCAGGACTGCGATTTGTAGTACTGCGAGTGCTAAAATCGTCATGTGACCCTTGCGAATAACCGGGCGGCGAGTTTCTTCATATGTTTCCGGTCCCTCTAGTTGCTGCAGCGGAGCTCCTCCTTGATCCAATTCAACGGCAGTTTCCGTCAAACTTGACTGCGATTTGTAGTACTGCGAGTGCTAAAATCGTCATGTGACCCTTGCGAATAACCGGGCGGCGAGTTTCTTCATATGTTTCCGGTCCCTCTAGTTGCTGCAGCGGAGCTCCTCCTTGATCCAATTCAACGGCAGTTTCCGTCAAACTTGAAAGATCCTCATTTGAAGCTGTTACTAACACAGCTAAAAGTACCAATGGAACAAGAAATACAAGTTTAACCGCCTGCAGGAGTGAGGCGGGGGCACTGCTTTGCATATTGGCGAAAACACTACGGCTGCTGCGAGCCATGGTATCTCAGATATCTTGGATGTCTCGTGTGTCTGCTGTGATCAAAGAATTGCAAAATGTTCACGTTCAATGTAATGCTAGCCTGTCACTTAGAATAAAGAGCATATATGCTGAACTCCAAGCATGCGTCAGTGACCCTGCAATGGTGGTCCCCCCGACAGGGCTGACGGGCCGCCACCGCTGGACCTGTTTTAAAGCAAGATCAATCTACTTCCCTTAACAGGGAAAATTGCTTAAACCAGTATTTTGTGGATTGTGGAAAACTTTTGACTGACGAGAAAATGAGACTGCAGGAATTTTTAACATTCGCGTTGTACGGCAGTCAGGCTTCAGAACTCTCTCGGTGGCATACTGCAGTAACACTTTAATACGGACGCAGCATGCTAGAGTAGTTGGAACATTGAAAATGTGCTCAACGATGTAGTGTTACAAGCTAGTCGATATTTGCTGACTCTGTCAGTGAGAAACCTTGGTGGGTTCGGCCCTGCATTTAGAAATACTTGCCACCGTCCGCAGCTGTCGCGAGAACCCACACCCGGCATGCTTGCAAGCACACGTATGTGACATTTTTGGGCTAAATAGTTCAAAAACAGTGGTTGTATGTAACTGTGGGACTGCCTTCCCGTGGAGTGAGGCAACACGGGTTGCAACTGGGTTGCAAAGACACTTCCTTTCCCGCTGCTCCAGGCGTGGCACCTGCGAGGAACGAAACTTATACCCGCACAAAGGGGGACCTGAAGGAGGAGTGAACAACTCTGAGGGTAGAATGTGATTCGAAATCATCTGGAAATAGCAGCAACTTTTGGGAAAGCTCCCCAAATCTGTCCAATCTCAGCCTTCCACTCTTTAGAAGAATGGGCATTGAACATGATCTACTGGAGGATAGGGTCATCTTTCGGCTGGTGAAAAGCGAGGTCTAGTGCGAAAGCGCATCCGGAGGGACGCGCTCTTTCATACACTCCCCATCCAATCTGTACATTGAAAGTCCTTGGAAGCAAGAAGCAACTCCAATTCTTTCCATCCTTCGAAGCAGTCTGCTGTTGCTCATCTCTGCGCGATGAGTGGCTTGAAAACAGGAGATGGAGGTGGGCCAAAGAAGCCAGAGATGAATTGTGTGGACAGGAGATGACACCCTATCTACAGCCCCTTCCTCAAAAGCAAGTTGTACTGACTAGGCAACTCTCTCGCATACAATTGCGCATCCCTCAGTAAGCACCGCATCTCTGCATCCTCCCGTCGCCTGTTAAACGGAGCCTAAATTGTATTGAAGTATGCCCAGAAGAGCTCCAGCGTGTGCCCCGTAACTAGCTAACACAGATAAATCGCTGCCTCCACCCAATACGCCTCAGAAACGTACACACTAAAAGCATAAAACCCCTTCCTTGAGCATCTGATCTCTGTCTACAAAGGTGTCTCTCTGCTGGTTGCTGGTTAGCTGATGGCCCTGGCGCCATCTGCTTCACTGACAGCCCTAAGTCTGGGCCAATCCAGGGCCCAGGGTAGGAATATTCCGCATACGGTACTGATCTGTAACGGGGCCCTTAGCTCTATTTGTTTTTGCACTGAGCCACAAAAACTTAAAAGTGCTTGGGTGGTTCTCCATTGTAGTTCTGAGGACAGTGTGGCTCGGCAGTCTAACTCCGACGCGACACAGCATGCCGCCAAAAGAATTAACCTGAGGAATTCTGTCTACATATTCTATCTCGCTAGTATTTCCCTTTATTTGTGCATACGTACCGGAACTCCTGCACGGTTTGCCCAGAACTACAAAGGGGATGGCGCACACTTATGGAGGCTAGAAACAGGTTCAGCAGGCCTGCAGACCAGCAGTTGGGTTGACTATGTGAGGATATAATGGTATTTTTAATGCAGTTTCTGTACCTAACGGATTACTATAGCCATTTAAATGTAAATGTGAGTGTAATTGTTTATTGAATTTTCTTAATAGCACCAACGGCAACAAATTTCACCACCGCCCTGACAATTGTGCCATGCTCATGTCATGTTACCTTCTGCCTGGCACCTGCCCTGCGCACGTAGAAGGTGCACAGCAGCTTGTTTATACACGAAATAGAGAAATTAAATAATAATTCTTGTAGTTTACGTCAACTGCCGGGTATGTTGTTGCTATAAGGTGTAAGGGGTAACTGGGTGTGTACACACTCATAATTCATTTTCTAGGGTTTAGGGTTTAGGGTTTGGGTTTTACCGGGTCGTCTGCCGATTTCAGGTGTATAGGCAGCTGCAAATGCACCAACAAACAAACAATAATAAATTTTATTTATTATTTTTATTCCTTATAATTATTATATACGTAAGGGCTATATATATATATATATATA